CCCCCCCCTCTCTCACTCATTCACTCTCTTCACTCTCTCCACTCTCTCTTGCTCTCTATCTATCTATCTGTCTATCTGTCTCTCTCCTCCCACTCTCCCTCCCTCCCTTCCCCTTCCCTCTCCCTTTTCATGTGGATTTGTGTGTGTGTGTCTATGTGTGAGGGGGGAGAGTTGGAGGGAGCCAAGTATTTCATGATTCGTTCTGTATTTGAGTATTTCAGTATTAAGTTTAAGTGATAATATTTGCACTCTTGCTTTTATAAAAACAAAGCTTTCATTTGTTTGCCCCTTCTTTGTGTTTATTTTAATATTGATTACATCAAAGATGTTTGTTTAGTATGATAATGGTAATGGCATCTGCATATATTATTTTGTTTAGTATTTTTATTAAGAATATGTCCATCATTGTTATTTTGAATAATGCAGGGTGAAAGATGATTGTTGAGGAAGGCCCCATTATTGTTTTTCATTTGGTGGTTTTGTTTCCCATCACTATCTGATAGGTTTTGTCTTGCAAAAAAGTAAAAAAAGAAATAAAATTTTACTCAATGAAAAAGGCTTTTCCCAGTGCCATACCGAACCATACACTAGGCTCCATGCAATGTCTGCTACTTGAGTGTAAAATGAGAAGCACAGGAAACTGATTTCCCTCATTTTCTTTAGTTTTGACTATACCTTGGGAGTAACCACAGTCAGGGCCAAACAAATGAGCAGCTATTTAGCACACAGAACATGGAGTAGGCTCAACCACAGATGGCTTGATCTCTGGGCACCCAGTATACAGGCCTGATTAATCATGGCAAAAGTAGATACCATCCTTTTATACCTAATTTTGCTGCTTTTATTAATATTGCTTCATGGTTTACCATGTCAACTGCTTTTACCAAGTCTAAGCCACACACCTTTCTTCTCCCCCTCCCCCATTCATTGCTCTCACCTTAGCTCAACCTGGCTCACCCTAACTCACTACCACCCTCCTATCTAGCTCATCCAAACTCACCCCCAACTTCCCACATAATTCATCCCTGCTTTCCCCACAGAATTTACCCCTTCCACTCACCTCTTTTACCCTGCCTTGCTCTGGGTACCTAAACTTGTCATTCTTTCCTCCACCCATGCATTCTTAACTCATCCAAACTCTACACTATTTCTCATTACTCACTACCTTGCCCTTCTATCTGTACTGAACTCAGCCCCTCCACTCACCTCCTTCCCCCTCCCCCACCATCATAGGGTGACCCTGTAGGAGGTCACATCCTGAATTACCTGCTAGAAAAGTCCCGTGTGGTACACCAGGAGCATGGCGAAAGGAACTTCCACGTGTTCTACCAGCTGTTAGCAGGCGCACCTGACGACCTGCTGGCCAAGCTCAACCTCGTCCGAGACCCTGGCAACTACTTTTACCTCAAGCAGGTGAGACAAAGGGAGGGCTGGTCTTGATCGATTAGTTTTTGAGGATTTTGTTTTTTTGTGTACATTCATTGTGTTGATGCATACAGTGTACATCAGTAGTTGAGTGGTTATGCATGTATGTGTACATTCATGTTTGAGTATTTGTGTGTTTGCCTTTACATCTGCATTTCTAAATTTTTCACACCTCCCTTCCTTCCCCTAGGGTGACAGCAGCCATGTGAGTGGAGTCAATGACCGCGGGTGCTTTGAAGCTGTGGACTATGCCTTGGACATCCTTAACTTCTCAACAGAGGAGCAGGAGGCTATCTGGGGTGTGATTGCAGCCATCCTTCATCTGGGCAATGTCACCTTCACCGAGGATGAAAACCGCAATGCCAAAGTCGTGGATG